AGGTGACATCATCAAGTGTAATTTACATATATTTACATAAAATGTCCTAAACAAACAAAATAAAAAATGTGGTTGACTAGATAGTTGTTCTTTTGCAAATATTAGATTGAAAAAAAGACAAAAAAAAAATCTGTGTTTATGACAGTTTAAAAACACTTAGTTTAGCACAAACATTTAGCTTTTAGCTCAAGCTTTTTATGAGTTTACATAAAGGAAGAAGTGAGGATTTCGGAGTGCTAATAGGTCAGTGAGGGTTCAGTTATCATAACTCACTCAACTTCCCCTTGCGTTAACATTAGGAAAGAGCAATAATTCATCAAAACACCTAAAAGCTTTTCCTTTCACCGTGGCAAACAACAGACACTTCCTAAACAGTAAATTCTAATCCACAGTTACTGCTTTTTGACATTATTTTCAGTCCACACGTTTCAAACTCTCTCACCCAATCAGGAGAGCTCATGGGCTGCACCAATCACCAGCTGTATTGACCAATTAACACATTACACAAAATTATAATAAATAAGTAGTAAAATTATAGCTATATGGGTTACTTGGAACAAATAAACCATTTCAGAAAAAAAGGTTGTGGTTAAAGATTTGGGTTTTAGATAAAAATGTCAGGTTTCAGCATGTTGAAGATTGAGTGACAGAGATTTGTCAGCAGAAAGCAACAAAGATATAAATAAAAATCCTTACATCAATATATTAAGATATGTTTTTGGCTCACTAAAAGCATTTGTGTTAAACCTATAATAGACATGTAATATTCATCATAATAACATTTATGCTGTTCTTTTAATTCATCAAAGAATCCTAAAATAACATCAATATTTCTACAAAAAATTACTATCACAGGAATACATTATTACTGGTTTCAGTGTAGTTTTAGTGAGCATAAAAGTCTTCAAAGTTTTGAATGGTAGTGTACATATAAATAATTGGCTTTGTCTTCATTTTACCATAACATTAGTATCTATAAGCACAGTTCAAAAGCAAGATGCATTATTAAGTAAGCTAATAATAATTAAAAGCAGGACTTTGAAGACCTTAACAACCTGCTTTAAAGATGATCAGATACCAGAAATCATTGATAATCATGTTTTTATCAAAGTCATGAAAGCGTCCTTGGATTTGCAACACATTATAAAGTCTTTATAACTTTCTCAGTGTTCATTGCACCCACTATCACTCAGGATCTAATATCTCACTGCAAATCAACATTTCAGCCATACTGCTGATGCCACATTCTTGTTTCCTTTCACAAGGCGTAGAGTTGAATTGTTGTTTTTTTTTGCTGTTTTTCACCAAAACGCACACTGCAGATTAACATCGACGAACAAAAAAAAACTCTGCATCTCAATGCTATCTAACACAAGATCTACAGTGAGTAATATGTGGAATTAGTTTTAATTAAATTAATCAACCACAACGGTTGTTAGGAGAAAAACACAAGGGTGGGAACCGAGAGGGTGGGGGAGTAACTAAGGCGGGGGTGAATGCATTCACACCTATCATCTAATTATACAACAACATTAATCACATTAGGGCTGGAACTGATTGCCAGGGTCCAGGGCCCTGCTGTTCTTACGTGTAGCTTTGTTATTGCAGCAAAGCCTCAGCTCCTGCCTGCTCTGCGCTGATAACAACTCTTATCGCACTTGGCGATCTCTATCTATACCAGAGATCAGGCCCCAGGCTTTATCAAAAGTTCACATCGAGCTAAAAGCAGAACAAAGAAGGAAAACACACAAGCAAAACTAACAAGACGCAACAGTGTGTGTGCATATGTGTGAAAATATGTGTGCGAAAGCCTGTGATCTCTCATTCTTTTCAATATTTTTGGCGGAGTATTAAACTAGACCTCGGGGACTCTGAACCTAACAGCAGCGAAAGCTCTGAGAATGCTTTCAACAAAAACAGGAAGAGATCCCATCAGTTGTCCACGCTTTCAAAGGTGCAAGCCCAAGGTACAGGGGGTGGTAACTCAAACAAGTGCATTGTCTGGCCCGGGCTTCTCAAACATCCTTCAGCTGCTGACGCCAAATTCTGGGAGCTCATGAATAATTCACGCCGACCTCGGAGCCGTTTGAATGATGTCACTCGGCTGTTATCTGTGAGAATCTCCTCTCTGTTATCTCCCAATCATCTCAACGGCTCGCTTATCGGCCCCTGCGATCTCACTGAGGCAGCTGCTTTTAAAACGCAGCATACATCCATCTACCATTTCTGTATTCCTGCCTCTCTCCCCCAGCCCTTATCAGCCCTGCCATCCTACTCTACCCTTATCTGCTTTTCTCTCTCTTTTTTTTACTTATCTAGAGATACACCCAGCCAGTCCCAAACAACAACAACACAAACATGACAAAGATGAGAATGCTTCAGCCAAATGTAATTATAATCCCAATGTCCCCCCACCCCCCTCAACGTTGGGACTATCTCCACAGAGATCACCGCCTCACCTATCTTGTCTCCCATCTCAACCGTCAAAATATAAGTCCTGGGATGTGGCCCCCGCTAAGGCCGTGAGCTAATCTCACCATCAGGGAGGGATGGATAATCTATCAGCGCAATCTTCACCATTGGGAGAGTGACGCACAAAAGACACACAAAAATATTTCCTCTCAACACAATCTTCCATGATACCGGATACCTCTTTTGGAGGGGCCAGGATTGTAATCCTTCCAGCAAGAGTGTAACAAACAATGCAATCGCACACTTATTATACAGTGTCGCCTTCACGTTTACATATGCAAAAAGGTAAGATAAGAGGAGCGATGTGAGACATCCATATGAGTTCCTATGTTTGGTAATGGGGGGGGGGACTCACCTTTGGGGTGATATAGGGCCAAATCTGAGATACTTTTCCTTTCCATTACTCTAATGGGACGTCAATGGGGGACTCGTGGAGCTGCCGATGTGTACTTCAAAAGCCACCAGATATGAAATCTTCACGGGGTTCAACATTTCAGGAAAGATAAGGAATGTTTATTCTGAATTGTTCAAAACATCAGCTATGACTGGCCTGTAACGCTGGTTCTACTGTTTGCAGCTGCCTCTAGGTAAGAAAAAGAGTTCTGCAGAAACCAACCAGAGATAGCTTTATATCAGATAAGACATCTCAATTAAGAGAACGCCTTCATGGGTCAGCAGGTCATTGGCATTACTGGCCAACGTGCTCGTATAACTCAGTCACTTAAACAAACCTTGATACCGTCCATTTACACTCAGTGGTATATGCTAATGCTGCCTTATCAGACCATTTTTCTTTCCTATTCAAGAGTCGCTTTCTGCCTTTGAATTGCATTAATATTTTTTTTTTTGAACAGCCCTTTCAAACTCAACCTCCAAGATATTGCTACTGTGCTTATCGCCCGAAAGCATCTCTTCTGGATGAAGAACTGAAACAGCGCCTGGCACCAGAGCAAAACGACTTTTCAACGCTGTTGGTTCTTTTCACAGAAAGAGAGAGAGAGGCAGGGGCCAATGAATTTGATTTTTACTTTATGAATTTATCGACCACAACATGTTAAGGGCTACTTCAATCAAAAATGAATTTCTGTCACCCTCATGTTGTTCCAAACCTATATGACATTCTATCATCAGTGGAAGTCAAAAGATGGTTGCTTTTTTCCAAACACAATTAATGATGAACGAAGATGTCAAGTCTCAAAAAGGATGGTATGATCATCTCAAAAGTATAATAAAAGTGATAAGACTATAGCGCACTATATTCCTATAAGACTTATGATTGTTTTGCGTGAGAAACAGAGTTGTTTTTCACTAACAATCTTACACTCCGCAGAGCTGTTAACGGTTGCGACCAGTTAAAAGAGTCAGTTGAACTCAAGAACCAAATCAGTCCGATTCATAAACGAATCATTCTGATTGGTTTTCTGAATTGTGTCAACTATTTCCTTGAAAAGATTTTCAAACAAATTAAAACATTGCTACTTTTCTCAGAAAAGTGTCAAGAAGAGCTTATGGCTTAACATAGTTGAGTCTCATAGACCACTTTCATATTTTGCGTTGTTTTAAGGGCTTTACATCTTCAGTCCCCATTCATTGTCATTAAATGGAAACGAGCAACCAAGATATTCTTCAAAATGTCTCCTTTTGTGTGCCACAGAAGAAGGCTAAGTCATACAGGTTTGCAGCAAAATGATGGTGTGTAAATAATGACTGAACTTCATATCTTGCATGCAATCATTAAATGTCATTTTAAGACCAACTAATGGTGCCTGAACATTATAGGGTTAAAATGGAAAGATGGGAGGGGGAAAGATCCAATTGTATTCCACTATCATATGGAGAGATCAGCTGGGCGCGCTATCTGACGTCTCATCTCTGGAAAGAGAACTGAAAAGCCGGAGGAAAATGCAACAGCAGCCTCGGTGCAGCCACAGACAGAAAACAAATAAAAGATCCAATTTTAATCCTTATCTCGACTGAGATCGGATCGCTGTTTATCTGAACTCATATCGTCTTTTTCAGAGAACAGTGACGTTTCCACAACAGTATTAAACAGGAAGCCAGGGTTGACGTTGCACTTCGGTTGGAGCAGACGAAAGCACTTTTACAAATTAAAAACTAAAATACTATTACGGGTTTATTTCACACAATTATCGCCCGCTGTATTTGAAAAGTAAAGCGCGAGTTTCAGCGGCGTTGACGTGCCGCGCGCTTTTACAAAATGAGCCGCGCGTCCCAAAAGCTGTTGGTTACCATGGCAATTGTAAGTAAATATAGCCATTTCTAATTTTTCTACTGTCTTAAAACCATTACAACACAAAGACTGTTTGAATAGACCGCTCACACATCCAAAGCGTGCCTCGTGTTAATAGAAAGATCTTGTCAGTTTCCACGAAATTATTTAAAGGCATGACAACGTTGTGCTCAAAAACCAATGATATACAGTCATATGAATAATGTCACACACTTTATCAAATTGAGACACTATTCAAAACAACAGCACCGGTACTAGTGAAACTTTAAACGCTTACGTTTGATCTGCCGGGGTTTGCTCTGCTTTCTTCGAGACATGCTTATTCCGTCGTTCCTGCTCAGCTTGCGGCAAAAGCGATCAGTCCACCGGAGTCACTAGCAGTAACAGCAGCACTGGATCACAGTTCTCTGCCCGTCCGAAGACACCCGCATGACCTGCACTTTGATATTCAGAGCCGAAAGTGCTACCTGTAGCCGAATGAGGCTTAGTTACTTTTCGACGTCTTCCCAGAGGAGCGAATCTATCCTCTCCGTTAGCCACAGAAAACTCTGCCGATGACAGCGCATATGATACTGTAGAAAACTAAACCTTTAGCTTTGAATGATTTGTTTATGTCTACTCCGGTGAAGCACAGAGGGAGCGCAGTTCTCAACAGGGCTCGATCGACACATGAAACAGTGGCGCTGATATGTTATGACACGCCTCCGTCACGCCCCTTGCGTATGATGCCATGCCGCACGCCGCTCACTGCGCCCGCGCTCCCAGCAAGCTCTCGATCACCCAAACATCACATTTCCATCCGTGCAAGGCATGCAATGTGTGCCTCGTTTGCATGCTAAACCATTTTCTTAAGAATGAGCGTATACGGAAAATCTGGAAGGGGCTATTCAAAAATAATAAAGTTATTTACCTCTACTAAAATTAGTATTATAATTTTGTACTGCATAAATTATATATAAACGATTATATATACATAATAATAATACTTTACTATAATATATTTATTATTATTATTATTAATATAAAAATCCTATGAATTCAATCATATTGATTTATCATTGGACTAATATAGATAGATGTAATATAGATAATTAGTATTATTAAATACATTCTAATATCATTCTATAAAAGTAGCCTATTAATAATAATAATAATTTTATTATTATACATAATTATAATAAAACAATTAATTAAAATATACAGTGGTGTGAAAAAGTGTTGGCCCCCTTCCTCATTTCTTTGCATGTTTGTCACACTTTAATGTTTCAGATCATCAAACAAATTTAAATATTAGTCAAAGATAACACAAGATGCAGTTTTTAAATGAAGGTTTTTATTATTAAGGGAAAACAAAATCCAAAACTACATGGCCCTGTGTGAAAAAGTGTTTGCCCCCTAAACCTAATAACTGGTTGGGCCACCCTTACCTGTATATATAAATAATTCAAACAACACAATTCTATATAATATTAATAACATATCTAATTGATATGAATTATTATTATTAATCTGTCATTGTTGTACTTTTTATGTAAAAAATAATTTATATGATCAATATTTTGTGGTAAAAAAATTTTTACTGTATTATTTTTCCTTGTCTATTTTATATAATTCTGCATTTTTATTGTTCTACTCTCTTTTGCTGCTGCAACATTGCGGTTCCCCTCAGAGGAATCAATAAATATTATTCCATTCTATATATTTACTGTAAATGGGGTCATGGCCAATATCTCCAAGTAAATGTTGGGTGGTGATTACTGAAATACAAAAGTTTTACAATTATAGATTATAGTCAATCATGAAAAGTAAGAATGCTGTTACCATTTTCTTAGCACAGACGCTGGCACTGTGACCTACTCAAAAACTCACTGCTTCCATCTAGTGACCAGAGAAAAAGCTTAAAGGCACAATATGTAAGATTCTTTTATTAAAATATCCAAAACCCACTAGAACAGTGTTATATATTTTGCTGCCTTGTGTACTTACATTATCCCAAATGTTTCGAAGAATGTTTAAATCCAGAGAAGTAAGCAATTTTAACTAGTGAAAATTCGTGTCCTTAGTGTCATTGTGTCGCCTGCCAATGACGCCATCACCCCTCGATTTCCGGTTTTGTTTTGTAGAAAACATGGAAGCACCAAAGACTCTTTAATGTGTTGTGCGTTTTAATAGACCGGCGACGACCGCACATAGTAGCATTATAACAGAACCTTCAAATGTATCTAGTATGATAAAACAGAGCTGCTTTTTTTTACCACATACGCACAACCAGAAGAAGCGGAAGCAGTCGACTGTGGCATAATAAAAGCTCCACTGCTTTCGACCTGTGTGTCGCGCTGGTTCAGCGGCCTCCTTTCGCTTCGACGGCTTTCAGCCTCACCCTGCTTAATTCTACTACGTTAACAAATCATTAGCTCATCCATGAACATGATTTCCGCCCGAGCCCGTCAGATTACATCGGCTGTGGGGATGAAGACTACAACTCCCATGATTCCACACCGTCATGGCGTCATCAAACTACGCCTTTGTCTCTTTGTTTATTTGGAATACGCGCCCTCTAGCGGCAAAAATTACATTTTGTGCCTTTAACTCATGTCCCACAGTAGTGGCCACCCTATTGACCATTTCTGCAATGAGCTTACTTAGTAGATACATTCCTCTCAGGCCACAACATTTGAATATGAGTCAAAGACATCAACCATGTCATGTGTTAACAAACTGGAACTTGTGATGCAACCACAAATAATAGCAACAACACTAGAATAAAACACTAACTGACAATTCTGTGTTGTGTCATGATTTGTTAGAAGGTTCAGAGCAAACTATTTGGGCAGACTATTAACAACTATTTACAAGATCAATGTCTAACCTTGTTAATCTTGATGTTGGAGGAACATTGTTCATCATGTCTTTCAAGATTAAACATGATGAAATCAACATTTAAAATAAAAAGGATTATGCACTCATAATGACAATAAATGATGACATAAACAATAAACAATACAATAAACTGAAGCAGGATACACTGAAAATAAACAATAAATCTATATTTTGAACACCGCATTTCAAATGCATTTACATTTGAGGTTGAACTTGCAATTTTTGTGTGAGCAGATCAGTTCTTGGGTTGAGGGTTGATAACTGTTGTGCCACCAGTCAAACAACTGCTTATTTTAAAAAAACAACAACAACAAAATCGACTACTAAGTGAGTGTCAATGGATACAGCTTTTAACTTCTCACTCAGCTTCGTAACCTTCAAGCTTTCCTGTTAGCGTTGTTCAATAAAACCGACATAAGACATGAATTATTAACCTACCTTTGAAGAATCTGAGCCTCTGTGACACTCTTTTACCATCTGCATTAGCGCACACTTTATCACTGGGTACAGCATGAACCGCTTTCACAGAAGAATTTACTGTGATGGCAAATTAAATGATCCATATGGGAATGGCTGAGAATAAAACATTTATGATTTTTCTTTAAAATTTTGATTTATGTGTTTGGTTCACTTCACCAATAGATGTAATATTTTAGAACTCTAATCTAACAAACATGTCAGTACAGAACACAGAGATGCAGAGATCAAGTTCTATACTAATTATGACTATTTATACACACAACAGGTTTTTCTGTTCTCTGTACAGGAATCCCACTTTGTACACATGTATCAGCTGATTTGTTTTTTTAAGGGGATAAAGTAGGATCAGGATAAATGCCAGGATTTTGTAACTGTGCCTGTGTGAGTGATTGATTTTGTGAGCTCTTCATTACATGAGAGGCTGTATCCGTCTTTAATGAAAGAACAGCTATGATAAAATAAATTTAGCTCTGCCTGTACTTGACCCTGCTGCTTGGACAGTCCCTCAACAGACAGGTAAGAATTTCATTAGATTATGTTGCTTTTTAGATAACATTGAACATTATACAGTGAAATAAACTTTGACATAATTATGTATTTTATTCATTTTTGAAAGAGTATTGTTACTGGACAGGAATATATAATATAATATAATTAATCACTAATATAATTAATTGTATTAAAGAATGGGTGTTAATGTCAGATTTGTTTGTTTTTGTACAGACTCTGGGCCGGTGGTTGTTCTAAAGCATGGCAGTATCTGTGGCCAATATAGGAAAGTTAAAGGCTCAGAAAAAGTGGTGGAGCAGTATTTTGGCATTCCTTTTGCCCAGCCGCCTGCTGGCCCTCTCCGCCTGGCTGCACCTAGTCCTGTACAGGGATGGGAGGGCATAAGAAACACCACCCAGCACCCATTCATGTGAGTATGACTATATTCATTAAAGGGGTCATTTGATGCGATTTCAATTTTTCCTTTCTCTTTGGAGTGTTACAAGCTCTTGGTGCATAAAGAAGATCTGTAAAGTTGCAAAGACTAAAGTCAAATATATCCAAAGAGATATTCTTTATAAAAGTTAAGAGTCAGCCACACCTACCTAAAACGGCTCGTTCTAACACGCCCCCACATGTCTAAGTCACGATGTGGGAAGATTTGCATAACGCCGCCCAAATGTTCACGCAAAGAAAGAAAGCGAAACTACTTTGTTTGGTCTTCCAAAAGAGGACGATATTCGCTTCGTCATGCCTAGAGCTGATCCGTGCTGGTCGCTGAGGAAATACATCAACTTC